TATTTTTTATACATCATCTCCGCTGTGTGGTTATCTTTTTATCTTTTTTGATAAGAACGTTTATTATTAAAAAAATAAATATTATGTGTCATGGGCCTCGCCCAAAAAATAAAATTTTGATCATATCTATTGCGGAAAACGGAATGCTAGATAATATTGGGCTAAAAATTTGGTTGTAGTTTTTCTAATGTTCATTACTTTTAACCTGAATAGACATTTATTTTTGTTATTAACCAAAGAGGAAGTGGTTAGTACGGCTGATATCTTTATTATTTGGGTTGTACGTATTGAGATAATGGCGATAGCATGGGCATATAACGTCCAACGTTTAAACGACATTTTCCAGTATTTTTTATTGTTCTGGTTAAGATATTGCTTATGGTAGAGTTCAAATAATATAGCGTTTTCCTTTCATGACAAAGTATTTCTGTCGCCTCTATTTTGACAAAGAGGAAAAAAAAGTTTAAAAACTAGTCTAGCTAATATTCGTTGTTTGAGTTTAAAATCAGCATAAATAAATAAAACCAGTCGTTTATTTAGTACAATCTAAAGGAAATTCCCTGTGAATTTTGCTAACGGTTCGCTGCTGGTAGTGCTGTACTTAAATAGACTTTTACCTGTAAAATTTCCGAAAAAGCTCACCTCAAGGTCTAATCCGTCTTTTGCATTGTCGTTTTCGCTAATTCTGGCAAATGTAAAATGTCACTATTTTGTCATAAAATAAAATACATGAGAGATATTTTCAAATGAACCCACACTATAAAAAATTAATATATTGCTTGTTTTGATCATTTCGCAGTCGATAAATCCGACTGTTAAAATGATATATGCGATGAAACCAAATTAAGATTCTATAATTGCATGCTTAAATTTCTAATGAGTAGCTATCAGCTATATGCATTACGATAAAAAATGTAAGATTCGACATAATTGACCATTTATCATAATTAATGAGCTTCTATCTATAAAGAGCACTGCCTGATTTTATACAGGTGGTTGTCAAAAGTTCTGCGTTCTGGTTTTTTCTCTTAATTGTACTTATGTAATATGCGCAAATAAAAAACATTATGGAAATCACCAGTACTTGCCATGTGATTAAATTTACATTTAAATTAGGACGCAATGGAAAAGTCGAGGGGAGAATCCATAACGACCCAACGACAACGGCAGTGAGCGTGGCAGCAGCTATAGATTTTTGAATTTACTTTTTTCTAGAGAATGTAAATTTAAAAATTTCGAAGGCTGTTGCGTGTTGATTTTTTTTTAACTTCGGTTAAAATTTTAATGTCATTGTAGCGTTTGCAGAGAACTGATTATTATCATAGTTTGAATTTGTGCTACAAAAACGAGGTCTAATTGTTTAATAGTTGCCATTAATCAACGTGCGTATCTGCAGAGTTATTTATCGTTGTTTAAATATGACAAATACTGCGTGCATATCTGGGGCAATTATTATTTAATATTTTTTCCAAGGTGACGTCATTAATTTTTTAATGGGAATAAATATACTAATTTTGACGCATACAATATCAATCGTAACTCATTCTCAGAATTTTAAACAAATTAGATAAACTCAAAGGTTTCTATATAGCATAGTTATAAATGAACAAATGTCCATTATAGAAGAATGATTTCCTGTTAGCTTTAAACATTAAATTAATTCTTTAAATGCTATTTCGTTGTATTGTTTAATTATGTACATAATTTTTTCTGGACACGGGTAGTGGACAATGGTCGAATAACATCACAAGTAGAAGAAAATTTAAGGATACTTACTAGAAATAAGGTTTTTATAACGATTCATATATTATTTTTTTGGAACCAACTATGTTGTCGGAGGGAATAAATAAATAAATAAAACAGTCATTTGCTCTGTTATTCTTAATCAGTTTGTCTGCTAAAACTTTCATAACTCTGGGTATTGTTACGATCTTTTTCGGTGTTCAGCGGTGGTGATTAAAAATAAGATTAAAACAATCATCAAAGTGTATTTATCCAGATATTTACATGTCACTGGTTGATGGAAACCTCTAGAGGGGAATTCTAATAAGTGGGGTTAGTATTTAATCTAGATTAAATGACAAGTTATACTATAATCTTTGAATTTTCGGTACATTTAGAAACTTGTTTTCTACGAAATTTTGTGAAAATGAAACACTAAAAACACGTTTTATAGCAGCATTTAATCACGCAATTAATTTATCACGTGATGAACATCAACCAATCCAATGACCTGATCGACCGGTTAATTTTAATTCAAATTAAGTATTTAATTCGCCTACCATAAAATCCACCCTCTTCGACTCAAAATTGTGTATAAATCTACAAATTTTCGTTTTTGTGTCAACTTATAGACTGCAATATTTCTGAAACATATTATTGAAAAATTGGTCGAAGGTTGTTTAGACAGAACTTCGCTCGCCCTTGAAGTGCAACCAATCAAATCTCGCTTCTTTGAAAACTTATAAACTTATAAAAACATTTTTGCGATTTTTGTTTTCTGATAACCTTTATAAAGTAAAACCCGGTGGTGTAAATAACACTCCCTCAGCTTTTAATTTGAATTTTTTAATCCTTCAATTTTTCTTTTTTTTGTTTGTTTAGTTTTTCGATTTGCAATTTTTCGAGTTTTCAGTTTTCCAACTAATGGATTTTTCAATTTTTAGATTTGAGTTTCTCGAGCTTTCAGTTTTTAATTTTTCAATTTTTCGATTTGTAATTTTTCGTTTTGGTTCTTTATTTCTTTTAATTTTTCGGTTATTCATTTTTCAATGTTTCGATTTTATAATTTTTTATTTTTCAATTTAAATTTTTAAAATTTTTCGTTTCTTAAATTTTTTGATTTGCAATTTTTATTTTTTTTTTCTTCCAATTGTACGATGTGTACCTCTTGGAGTTTTTATTTAACGTTTTTCAATTATTCGTTAGCGTTTTTATTCGTTTTGGTTTTTTATTTTCTTTATTTTTTCAATTTTTCCATTTTGCAACTTTTATATTTTTAAATTTTTCGTTTTTTCAATTTTAGACTTTTCAGTTTTATGATTTTTCAATTCTTCGTTTCTTCAATTTTCAATTTGCAATTTTTCTAGTTTTCATTTTAAATATGTAATAATGATTTTTAAAATTTTCAGTTTTTCGATTCTTCAACGTTTGGATGTTTTCAATTTTTAGATTTTGCAATTTTTTGTTTCGGTTTTTTATTTTCTTCGGTTTTTCAATGTTCTGATTTTATAATTTTTCTTTTCTTCAGTGTGAAATTTTCCACTTTTTGGATGATTCGAGTTTTCGATTTGCAATTTATCGCCAATTTTTTAACTTTTAAATTTTTTAATTTTTCGTTTTTTCAATTTTAGATTTTTCATTTACCCCAGTTTTCAATTTTTCGTTTCTTCAATTTTTATTTGCGATTTTTCTAGTTTGCATTTTAAATGTATAATAATAATTATATTGTTCAAAATTTTCTACGATTTTAGAATTTTTCCATTTTTCAGTTATTGGATTTTAAAAAATAGCAAAATTGAAAAATCAAAGATTGAAAATTTGAAAAATTGAACAAACAAAAAATTATAAAGTCGAAAGAAACTGATTGAACAATTGAAAAAAATTAAAGTTGAAAAAAGGAAAAATTATAAAACCGAAACATTGAAAAATCGAAAAATTGAAAATTGAAAGAAAATGAAAAAACGAAAAATAATAAAATCGAGGAAAAAGGAGCTTACGCTCTGGAAGTAAAAAGCGGAAAGAACGAACATAAACTTTAAGCAGTCCTGTGTAAAGGAAATAAACAAACATGACAAAGGTCAAACAAAAAAACTACGAGAATACAAACAAAATAAAAAGGAAACTTTTTATACATTATAAGAATAATCTTTTATTGAAGGTCACCTTCTGTTATTTGGCAACATATAAACTTTTCCATAAATTATACAACGAAAAAATTGTATCAGATACACTTTGATTTTAAATAGATACCTGCGTATCAAAAAAGTTGTTGAGCGTTGTAATCACTTACAAGATTAAACGATATTTTTAGTTATCATCGTTCTTAAAGTGCAGTTATATTTTTAATTAAAAAAAGTAGAAAAACAAGAAAAATCACAAAATAAGAGTTCAAATGTCGTAGGGACTTTTGTTATAACTTTATTTTTAAAATATGTAGGAAAATGCTTTTAAGTTATGTTTCTGTGAGTCATTTTGATTTTTGCAAATTAACCGATCATGTTTTGGTGTTTACTTATGTTAATTGTATTAAGTAAAGTGTATATACTGTTAGTATTTTATTGTATTTTTGGCTCGAATTTCGCCTACTCTCTGAAGAACATATGAAGATAGACTTATATTTTTTCCTTGGAAGCTTACATGATATGCTATTTTTAAATTGTACCACCGCCGACGTTGTGTGGTATTCAAATGGTGGTCACATTTTAAAGATCCACCAACGCCTCAATTTATCTCGAAATACACATGCCAACACTCCAGAATTAAGTTATGTTTAAATTCTTGTGCCAAGCATTTGCCAAAATTAAGTACTTGTAATGTAATCATGTACGCAGTACACAGAAGAAGGTAAAATATCATTTTTTTGCTCTACATCAATTCGATCGTATTTTTGATTCGGTTGCATCACTTGTGCATTTAATTAAGCTGTCAATCAGTAGGGATATTATTGTATTACCAACATGAATCAGCAGCAGGTGGTGGATCTTTAAAGTGGGAACAATATATGACGGGCCATATTGTGGTTGGTTATTAATAGCGGCCCATCATTGATAGCGATATTGCACACAGGTGTATAAATTTACTTATCGACTATTTTTAATTTTTATTATTATTTTAATTATTTAATTAATTTGATTTAATTTAACTTAATTAGTGTTTGCAGGAAACGCTGTACACTATTGACATATAAAATCGCAGCGGAATTTGCCACATTGGTAATTATTGTTGATGTATTGCCGACAAAATAAGTGAAGCTAATCACTACTGATTATAAAAACGTCCGTAATAAAAAGAATAATTATTATCAATCCGGTTGTGAATCGATGACGTCATCAAAATAATACCGATTTACCGACTGATAAAATTGATGCAGCAACATGCGCTCTCTCGCTTTCCAAGGTTGTCGCGATAATCAGCTGAAGGTTTTTGTGAATACCGGCTGTCAAAACAAGCACTTTTGACGGGTAAGTGTGTGTTTATTACAATCCTTTTCCACTGCTTTTCATTATTCAGCCCGAACTTTTTCCTTGCAATTAATCGATTGTTTGTTTTGTTCACCTAAAAGCAGCAATTTCGTCAGTTACGTGACACATAACCACACTTTTGACACCGTTTCTTTTTAAAGGTGAACATTCCATTATCGACGATGGATTGGTCTTTATGGAGGCCTCGAGAAGAAACCCTAACATCAATCAAAGAACTTTTACAAGACGCATTGATCCCGGATAGCGAAATACAGAAAGACGTCCAAAACAAGCTGAAAAACCTCGAGATTGTGGAAGATTTCACCTATTACCTTTTGTATATCGTCGGTCAGACGCATTTCTCGGAGGAGATTCGCTCGCTTAGCGGTATTTTATTAAAGAATAATATCGCGGCAGTGTACAATAAACTACCTCAAGACAGTATTATTAAGATTAGACAGTTGTGTTTAATGCTGCTTCGAGACCCATGTCGAGACGTTCGGACGAGCATTTCGAACGTGATCTACACACTAGCGAAGCACAATCTCAACACGTGGCCCGAATTAATACCGTTCTTGGTCAAGTCGTTCGAAACTCCAGACGAGTACGGCGACGTCGCCTTGACTACGCTGTTCAGCGTGTGCGAAGAGATGATGAACCTCGAGAAATCAGAAGAGGAAATCTGCACAATCACGAAGGAGGTTTTTCCGAAGTTTGTCGATTTCCTGGCGGATGAGAAGTGTGATAAAAAACAGAACATAATCAAACTAATCAATCAGTTTTTACAAGACCACTACAAGGTAATGAAACAATCTATAGATCTTGCCAAATATTTGAGAAATGTGATGCAGTTGGCTGACACGGATGACCTAGATATGCAGAAGTACATCTGTCACGCGTTTGTTATGTACATTGAGTATCGAGAAGAGTGCCTCTTGCCTCACTTACATGACGTCATCATGTATCTTATGATTAAAACTCAGCACGAGGACCTCGAGGTGGCGCTAGGTGCTTGTGAGTTTTGGCTAGCCGTGACAAAATTGAGTAACTGTAAAGAAATACTCACTCCTTACATTGACAAACTCATCCCGATTTTACTCAAAAACATGAAATACTCGACGTTTGAGTTGATTGCTTTGAAGGATACTCTCAGGGTGGATGAACAGAGTGACGATCCGTCAAAAGAGACGTTCCCGTTTCACATGCACGATAAAAGGATAACTCGGGAGGATGATTGTTACGAGAACGAAGATGGCGATTTTTTGGGGAATTGTGACGACGTTGATGATTTCTACGTCGGGTGGACTTTGAGGAAGTGCAGCGCTGCCTCCTTAGACGCGATTGCTGTTAAATTCGGGGAAGATATTCTCCCTTTGATTGTCCCTTTTCTTAACGAGCTTCTCTACCATCAAGATTTTTTAATTAAGGAGTCTGCGATTTTGGCCCTAGGGGCAATTTCCGAAGGTTGTATGAACGGGTTGAAACCCCATTTGCCGTATTTGATAGAATATTTGATTCATACTATGAACGACGAACATTCAATGGTCCGTGTGATCACGTGCTGGACGCTGAGTCGTTACGTTAGTTGGATCATCAACTCGCAACCTTCTCATTCTATTTATTTTATACCCGTTATGACGATTCTGCTGAAACACTTTATGGACGATAATAAGAGGGTTCAAAGAGCGGCGATTTCGGCCTTTTGCGTGTTTCAGGAAGAGGCACAGATGCAACTGATTCCTTACATTGATTTGATTCTGGAAGGGTTTCAGCTCGGGTTTCAAAAATTCAATTATCGCAGTCTTTATTTGTTGTACGACGCTATAAACGTCTTGGCTCTTTCGGTGGGGAACGAGTTAAGCAAGCCAGCGTATATAGAAAAATTGATGCCCCCAATAATGCAAAAACTCAACGAGTATAATAATTATTCCGACGACCAGTTCATTGCCGTTCTTGAATGTTTAGCCAACATAATCCCATCTTTGGACGCCGGCTTTTTACCTTATTCCGAAGTGGTATATTTGCAATGTATGGAAATAATCATGGACACTTTTATGGCGGATGCTAATTTCCAAGAGAACCTAAACGGGTTTGATCCTCCGGATAAAGAACCCATGCATGTTGCGCTGGACGTCTTATACAGCATGGCAGTGGGACTTAAATCCTATTTTTATAAGTACGTTACAAATAGTAACTTAGTCTGTCTCCTCTACACGACGATGCAAGACTGCTCCTTTTTGATCCGACAATCGTCCATAGCCTTATATGGAGAATTAGTATTGATCTGCTACCCTTATTTATCCACAAACGTGGGCGACTACATTAAATTAATAATAAAGAACCTCGACGAGTGCTACGAAGGGGTTTGTAAAAACGCCGCCTGGGTCATCGGTAAACTAACCACCGTCATGGGCGCCGAAATTCGCCCCTACGTACCTGAAATTTTAACCGCTTTCATCAACATTCTGAGGAACCCGACGGTGTCGAGAGCCATGCACCAAACCGTCTCGGTCTCGCTTTGTACGCTCTGTTGCGTGTGTCCCGACATCACCATAACCGAGTCCGACATCGTTCTGAAGAATTGCTGCATGTCCTTGCGCAGCCTGAAGGATTCAGACGAGAAGGACCTGGCCTTCCGGGGCCTGTGCCAAGTGGTCGTTCGTCACCCGGACTTCTGCCAGAACAACTTCATGTACTTCTGTGATGCTGTGGCGTCGTGGAACGCCGTCAAACCTGACTTGAAGGATATCATAAAGAATATTTTAATCTCTTTTAAAGAACAATGCGGGGAAATGAACTGGATACAGTTCTATGGGCAATTTCCTGAGCTGCTGAAGCTACAACTGTATAATCTTTACGGGGTTTGAACAGTTTCATTTAAACAATTTAACGGGGAACGAATTTTTGGGTGGGATAGCTTGAGTGCACCTGCCTTGAGTTAAATCGCGTCATATCGTCCACGAGGGAGGGATCGCGTTCGTCTATCATAACAATCAAGATTTTAAACCAAAAAGTGATCATCGTCGTCAAACATGGGGATTTATTTCAAGAGTCTGCAACTAGTCGTTCTGGGAAAAATGCATCCGAACTTAATGATTTACACCAAAAGCTGTTTTAAAAATACATTCTTTTAACGGTTCTGTGTTATCTTTTTCCTATATTTGTAACTTTCAAGTATTCTGACTTGGCTTTACAATGTTGCATTTAACTAAAGCTGATTATCGATGTTTTTTTCCATGATAGAGGATACTTTTGATATTGTATTGTTCATTGTGATCATTAAAGTGCTCAAACTGGTATGTGTTTTATTTTTGACAGACCTAAGGAGAGACTTTTGTAACGAAATTTTTAGGAGAATTGGAGTTTTATGGGAGGCATTAAGTGACGACAAAAGGGTTTTTGCATAATTTTTACATATTAATTATTATGATTGGTAAAATTTTCATGAAAATTTTTTTTAATATATTTGTATAATAGAACAAAGGAATAATTCTGTTCGGAGAAATGTTTTGGTTACTCTGTATTTTAGACACTGAATTTTGAATAAAAAAAAAAACAGATTATTCTACATGTTGTTACAGATGTTTAAAAAAAACATTGCAGGAAGCTGACGCTTGATTTACATCATAATGACAGAATTTTTTTTATGTATACAGTGATTGCATAGTAGATAGGAGACAATCGCCTAAATTGGCTTTGTTTACTTACTGACTAAGCTAAAGATTTTAATTTACGAATTTAATCGCCCCATATAAATAAATCAAAACATTTTTCAATTTTTAGACGTTTCTCAAGGCAAGGTAATCAAAACAAAACGTTTCGTACAAGATTCCATACCACCATTTTAAAACATGGTGAACTTCAGAAATTTTAAATATATGATTTTTTTACACAAAAGTGCAAATATGTGCTGATATGTTGAAAATCGTTGATGGAAACAAGTATTGTAATAGAGTGTATCCGGTGAATGGCTAATTTCATGTTTTCGTGACGTCATCTTAACAATTTTGCCGAATAATTTTTTTAAAATAACATCGTCCTACACGCGTTGAATTTTTATCCTAGGCATCTGGATTTTTGTAATTGTATAACAACATTTTGTAATTTAACTTTGAAATTGCGAAATTGAATGCTCTGAAATCTTGCAGACGTTGTAAGGTTATCGGAAGCGTGGTAAATCGATAATGAAAATTTATCCGTTTATGACTCCGCCCAAAAATTGATGACGTTATGTAGCAAAATTTGGTCTAATAAATGCTATTGATAAATTTGATCAAGTAACATACTCCTGCACTTGTCGTCTATGAATCCGTGTTGAGTTTTTACCCTAGGCATTCAAATTTAAAAATAATAAAATTGTATAACGTTTTACAACTTTAGAAGCGGAAATGATTCGAATTTTCCCAAACATTTTAAAGTTATTGTAAGCATGGTAAATTGCTAATGAAACTTTATCTTCATCTCTCCCCAAGTTGATGACGTCGATGCCAAATGTTATCGGATACATCTCATCTAAAATATGCAAAACATAAAACTTGTGGTTTATATATTTTTTACTTTGTGGAGGTTACCACAAAAAAATCGCAAAATCATATTTTATAATTTTTCAAACAAGCGCGATTTGTTGGACTGTACTTCAGGGACGACGTAAGTTTTTTTTTAACTTTATACTTATAGAGGTTATATAAAAAATTAAATTCGGAAAATCAAATTTTATAATTTATTTTATTTATTTATTTATGCTATGTATATATGTACCCATTTAATGCTGTAGTATACTCATTTTAAAGATATTTTTTGTGTTGTTTAGTAGATGGTACCAAGTTCTAAAATTATGTTTTTTGAAACAATTCAAATGTTACAAGACAGTGGAAGAAATGACATGGCTGGCCGCAAAAAAAGTAACTCATTTACAAAAACATACCACATTCTATTTGAAAAACAAAGTGGATATCAATTCCGGAAAAACCGAAAGCCATATCTTTAATTCTATACTTGTGCAGGTTTTATATTGCTTTTTGTGTTAATTTACAGTTCGAAAAATACGCTATTCAATACATTTAAGAAAGTTTTTTGCAGAGAAAAAGGTGGATGGCGTTTAAAAAAAAAACAAAGATGAATACTAATTAATTGATCAGATATTCATTTTATAGATTTCTTCGTGTTAATTTAAACCGTCCATCCTTTCAAATACTACGAGATATTACAGTGGAACAGATAAACTAGGACACCCGATGTGTTTTTCGATCTTTATAATTAGCGTTTTTTGTGCTCGTATTTTCTCGAAAAACACTAAAGTACCTTACCCTCAGCGAATTTCACTTAATTTTATCAGTTGCGCGCGCATTTTGCCAAAATTTTTGACATTACTGTATTTTCATTTAGATGCCGTTTTTAAAGGACCATTTTAGGAAACACGAGTTCTTTAGGGTAAATCAGAATTGCAAGTTTATACAAATCAACAAAAGATAGTTTGGGTTAAAATATTGGTCGAGAGTTATTTATAGGGATGTACCGACTAGTGGCCGACCGGTCGGATAAGCCGACTATTCGGCCATTTTTCATCGTCGGCTGCAGTCGGCGACTGGTCGGCTAAACAGCCGATTGGTCGGCTTTTTTTATTAAAATTAAAATAGTATATAAAACAATTAAACCCGGTTTACAGAACCAATTAAATATTTAATTGCGATTTAATTTTTAACCCCGCGTTGAAATACCATGTGACCGACTCTACGCCAATCAGACGTCGCTAATGGCCTTGTTAAATGTGCGATCAACTTAGTCTCAGTTAAAATATTGTATAAACTGGCCCTAAATTGTGTTATTCTTTATTTTTGTACTGAGTTACTAAAAAAAAATAAATGTTAAAATTATCCAAACAAATTTAACACATTTTTTGGAAAACAAAGGAACTTTAGTTATTCCTTTTATTAAAATAAAACAAATTTTTAAGGTAGTCAGAGAAATAGAAAAAAAAAACACACTGTCTGTCGCATTTATAAACCGGTTTTAGCAAACCCGAACAGTCGGCCGACTAGTCGGTTTTTACTGGCCGAACAATTGGCTAGTCGGTTAGTCGGCCAGACCTACAGTCGGTATATCTCTAGTTATTTATCACAACTTCCACCAAAATATCTAAAGGCATATATCTACTTCGTAACTTAAGTAACAATCTTTCATCCAAATATATCAGAATCGCTTATTTCTCATTGTTACATTGTCATTTTGACCATGGTATTCTAAATTGGGGTCATTCAACATCATTACAAAGACTTTTTAAACTCCAAAGAAGAGCTGTTAGAATTGTGGCTGGTATTGGTTACCGAGACGAATGCAAACCACATTTTACTAAACTAAAAATTTTTACCTTACCTTGTTTGTTTATATTTCGTTGCCTTGAGCATTTAATTAAAAATTTTGGGAACTATTTTCCACTAAAGTCGTTTCATCAATATGAAACTAGAACGGATGAAATCGCCTTTAAATTATTAAGACTGAGCAAATCTAAGTCTGGCACTTCATACTATGCCATCAAGTTTTTTAATAAATTACCGAATTCCTTTAAAAAAATGACTCCTAAACTTTTCTTAATGAAAATTAAACAGCACCTCCTTGACCACGCATATTATTCCTTCGAGGAATATCTGCATAACAATTTGTTTGAAATATAAAATCTAGTCTTATTGATTTCTATTGTCAAATATATTAGTCTCATTGTTATAATGTTACATATTATTTTTTGTCCCTATTAGGTACTGACTTGTGTAAACACTATTGTGTATTAACATGAATAAAGACATACATACATACATACATTCCGGAAGTACAATCAATAAATAAATTGTAGAATTTAATTCTGCGATTTTTTATAATAACCCCTTTAATAAATCAAAATAAAAATAGGTGTAGATTATTAAATTACAGGTAAAGAAGCATGTTTCAAGTGAGTTTTTTCATAAATAAAATATTAAGATGACGTCATCAACTTAGTAAAGAACAAATAAAAAGTTTTTAATAGGTACTAGTAACGACGGACTACATAACATAATAATAACAAAAATAATAATTGAATAAATTACTTCATTTATTAATTTTTTGACGCATCGTGTAATAATTTAAAAAAATATGGGTACCTACTTTAGTGAAATCACGAGTGTGGATATACATGTAATATCCTGCATATTTTAAATAGGGTTTATCTAACAATATTTAGAGATGAATGCATCATGTGTTTGGAGGAGATAAACAAATAAATTTTGTAATTTCTAAGTTTATAAATTGTAAATAGACAATATTTACTTCCCGAGCGTAAGCTAAGGAAGTATAGTAATCGAGTCCATCGGCCGAATTGCCACCTTCTCGATGAGTCATCTCTAGAGTCTAAAAAAGTGGTCTTCCGTTTCCGTCTGTCTGTCTGGTGTCCGTATCCATTTTTATTAGACAAGTAATCTCCGAAACTACTGGACCAATGGTTGTCAAATTTGTAAGTATATTGGGATATTGGGAATATCATGTAGATAGTTAAACACTAACCAAAATTTGGCTAATCATCTCCACCACCAATGGGATGACGTCATCTCCAAAATTTAAAAGAAAAAGTTTTTTTTTAATTTTATAAAATAATATACTCCTGCAGTTGTGGTGTCTGAATTTGTGTCGAATTTTCATCCTAGATATCCAGAATTTTTGGAAAAATTCAAAACTATATAAGTGCTTTACAATAGAAACTTTGAAACTGCAAAGCCGAATGCTCTGAAATCTTGTAGATATTTTAAGGTTATCGTAATCATGGTAAATTGTTAAGCAAATAAACGAATAAAGTTTATCCCATCCCAAAAAATTGATGACCTCATCCCAAAATTTTGCCGAATAAATCCTATCTAAAATGCGTAAAATATAATGAGTCTATATTTGTAATTTATCATTGCATTAAAAGTTTTTAAATTTCTTATACAAGATGATTCATAAAAAATAATGAAAGAGTCAATTTATTTTATAGATTAACGGTTCACTCCGTTTTACCGAAAATTTGGGAATACAATACTGTTATCATTAGTACTGCATTGCACTTACCCAAAATGCTCGCAAAAATGTTGATGACGTCATCACTATTAAGGGAAAACTCATTTGGAACGTACGGCCAGCACACTTCTTTACATTTCCTTTAATGTAACATATATATCTTTATTTTAACATCTAAGGGTTCTCATAAAAAATATAAATAAAGTTTTCTTAATCAAATTTTGTAACTTTTCAAAAAAGCTGGATTTGTTTTATGTATCTCAGGGGCGAAGGAAGTTCTGTCGAAATAACTTTCGACCAATTTTTTTTACAAATCCGAGGTGAAAAATAAGGGCTGCTTAATAAAACACAAGTATAGTAAAATTAAAATGGAATTTATATAGCACAATGTTGAGATGAGGTCATCAAATTATTGGTGGGGATGATCAAACGAATTTTGGTTAGCGGATCTAACATGTAAGCGGTATTCCTAAAATATAACAAAATTTCACAGCAATTAGTCCAGTAGTTGCTGGAATTATCTTTCTAATAAAATCACCAACAGACAACAAACGACGTAGAGCAGAAAAGAGGGATCTACTTTTTTCTACAGTAGAAGCCATGAAACGTCCAGAAAACATGAAATTAGCATTTGCCAAATATCCTTACTACAAAGGTTTTGCTAAATTTTTATTTATATTTTGATTTCAATATCAGTTATTTCTGAGATTACTTTACTATGTTCCACAGAGTTTGTCATTTTCACTTTACCATTCCGGAATCACTTCGCACCATATATTTTTACCACAACAAATTAATCAATTGCTCCAAACAACTACCTGCGGATGAAACAATTTATGCGATGGAGAACCGACAAACAGATCTATTTAGGGAACAGCATAAAGTTAATCGATCGTCCTAATTTCAGTTTATGTTTTACGATAAGTGTTTTGATGTTTTAACAAGATGTTACACACACCCACTAAAGTGAAAAATTTTGGCTCGATAATTATGGTCGCATTTTTTGAATAAAAAATCCGAGACGGCAGACAGACGAACAGACGAACAGACGAACAGACAAATAGATAGACAAACGGAAACGGAAGACCTATTTCTTCGTATTGTAGGGGTCATGAAAGGTCAAGAAAACGTAAAAGTATGGAGTCGGTCGACGGATTCGCTTACAATATTTCCTTCGTTTACTCTCGGGAAGTAAAAATATTAAAATAATAATAATAATAAAAAAGTGGTGGTTGTATTTGTAAAATTTTGTATAATCAGGAAAATTTTAGTGAAATAATAAAGTATGTCGTTGTTCAGTTGTCAAATTAAATAAATTGGTAAGCATGTGTGCACACCCTTGAACTTGTATGTTTCAAGCCCAAATTAAACGAAGACGATATCCTGAAATTAAATAGCACGCAACTATTGTTTTAAAATTTATGACAGTGATTGAAGCTGATGTCACTTCGGTAGAAACCTGACTCCACATCTTCAGTTTAACTACGTATTTCTTACTAAAACGTTTCTCTTTTCCAGAAAATGCCCTCAAAATTTAATTGCCCCACTTATCCAAATCGTCATAGACGAAACGAGGAAGTCATGCAAGAAACAACCGACAGCCTGTGGCTTCAACCCATCAGATAATGGTAAGAATTAATTTTCGCAATAAAAAAATATACAGAAAATTTCTACGCACTTGTTTAAATATTTACTCTCCCGGAAAATATATGCATTAAGTAACTGTACTTTATTCAAATTTAATACGCTCAAACAACCCGATTTCTCTAAAAGCGGAAGGTAATAATTATTCAAAACTTTGTACTTCCGTATCCGCTACAAACAATTTTTCTATTGTTGTTGCTGTACTAAAATATTTATCCTTTGTTTCTGGGATTAGTTTGCGTTACGTTTACTCACTAGAAAAAATATTGGGTAAGGCCTTACCTATGTAGAAAAACCTCTGGCGAATAGTCCTATTTCGGGTATTTGTACACAATCAATAACAACCTACTAATGTCTTCTTTTAATAGATGTGATTCACTTTAACACACATGTTTAATTTCAAATATTGTGTCACTTTCGCATGAATCACGTCACGTTGTAGATTTCGAGATAGCTCGTTTTTCTGTAAACCTTTATTTTCCGCAGCCTACGAACCCTTAAAGCTCATGCAAACCGTGATGGCCAAAACGAACGAAATTTGTCTGAGGTATTTGGACAACAGCATGTTGTGTTCTCTACCATCCCCCGGGGTACCCCATAATGTTGTCAGTGTGTGTGCTGCAAAGAATAAAAGACGACGAATGGAAGACAGACATGTGGTGATTCACGACTTAAACACCATGTTTAATATACAGGTAAACCGTAAAATTAGAAATAAAACCGTAAACAAGGCTGTTTGATGTTTTAGGAAGCTAGTCCGTCCAGTTATTATGCAATATTTGACGGTCATGCAGGTCATGATGCCGCAGCCTACAGTTCGGCTCATCTGCACCAGTTCCTGGCCGAAAACAAACACTTCGTTGCTAATCCAGAACAAGCTTTACTTGATGCCTTTTGTAAAACTGACGCTTTATTTATTGACAAATGTAACGTCGAGGTTCGTACACATAAAAATCAAAGGGGAAAATCTTATTTTCGTTTTATAGCGGTTCAACAGTGGTACTACGGCGGTGTGCGCGCTGTTACGACCTAAGGAAAAAACTTTATACGTAGCGTGGGTCGGGGATTCACAGGCTGTTTTAGTTAATCAAGGACGGGTTTTGCAATGTGTCAATCCACATAAACCTTGTCGAGCCGTGAGTTCCGTTTATAATTTAACGAATCGGTAACAATGGAGTTTTTTTTTTAGGATGAAAAGGAGAGGATCGAGAAACAAGGAGGGTATGTTTGTTTCTGGGGTACCTGGAGGGTCAACGGACAGTTGGCTGTTTCTAGAGCAATAGGTAAATGTTGATACGTCGTAACAATTCCGACATGTTTGAAATGCTTTACACCTATCTTATCAGTGTTTGTTTTCATTACATCATGATTCAAAAAGACAAGACCCGTTTGTTACAAAGTATTTTGTTTGAGGAAAGTTATGTAATACGTTTCGTATTCGAGGCGTCTTAACAACTTCAGGTTGAAGTAGGAGAACAACTGAAATCAGTTGGGTTGTCAAATACAAATAAAAATTGTTTGCCATTATTACTTTGATGAGAATTAATTAATTGAGTTTTTCTCAAAACTACTACCTGCGTAGGAAATAAATTACATAGTGAACAATCTAAAAAACTAACGACATATTTTAAAACGAATACTAATTGTTATTTAGAAGTTGCTTTAAATATAATATAAAATAATAATATAAAAAGAGAAAATAAATCATTCATAGTGAAAAATAATTTAATTTTTATAAATAATTGTATTTGTAACATTTGGTAAGCGTGGAAAGTTGCTGTTCGTGAAACCTGTTCATTTGATCCAACAAGATTTTAACTATGAACGGAAAGCGTCTTATTAATATCAAATAACTATTTAGTTGAGCGTAATAAATTTCTAAAATGGAAAAGTAGACAAATATAATCATTTATGCATTGAATTATAATATAAAATTGTTTACCCAGAATAATTCAAAAAATTAAGATATGAAACAATATTTTTTTATTACATCAAAAACGGTTGTCATTTTGTTAAAATTCTGGGATTGCAGTATTGTTGTTGTTAGTATTACAGTGTATAAAATTTTATTGCGAAAACCTTTCTTTAAACATACGCACAGTATTCCTGTGGCTTTACTTCATATTTTAATTTATAATTTATAGAGGGTTTCATAAAAAATGAGATTAGCATAATCAAATATTATACTTTGCCTCAGAAGCTACATTTTTTGTGCTTCAGGGACGAGGAAACTTTTCTCGAAGTATATTTATTATATTTTGAATCATTTTAGGCAAAAGTACTTCACTCTTCTTTGAAATAACAATTCAGGAAATAGCTTTTTTAATTTAACACAAACTTTTTTGTGTAGAATTTCGAGCTTTTGAAAGCGTAATTTTCAAATGTATTGAGGAGACAATAGGGGTTACAAAAAGGTAATCCCAAAAAATTAAATGTGTCATTTCCGGTGAAATTAGAGCTACTAGGATCGATTTTGCAATGTACTGAAATATTTTGTAGATTTTCATCGTCTAGCTTATTTCCTGTGGATGTAACGGTTTGGAAATAATGTTGACTAAGCTGTATATTGTGTAACATAACTACTGAGAGCAATAAAAACACGATCAAAGGTAGCTACGAATTTTCGAAAATTTTATCAGATTACCATCAATTTGAAAGTTTAAATTGAAAATGTAATGATAAAGGACAAACTTTCAAAAATCCATGGCTTAGGTTTTTATACGCCTACGTCAAGTTTCATTTGACAAGCAGTGAAGCTACCATATAAACGAAAAAAAAAAACGCCCTCCAGTTGGATATGGAATTAGTTGATTTGGTCGTGGTTGATTACTGAGATGTAGTCAAGAAAATGTTGAAAAAGCTGTGATAGTGCAAACATGGCTAACACATTTGTAAAATTATAATAGTTTCATGGCTAACTAGAGGCCGTGTTTTTTTAGATCATGGGAAAGTGTTAAATCTGTTTTTTTTCTGTCTAATTTTTGGAACTTCGAAATTTTTTCAGTGAATCCTTATAAGTTGCTTCATTTGAGCGACTGTAAAAAAATGCTAATCAATTTTAGTGGTGTAAAATCTGTGTGAAATAATAATTGAAACTGATGACACTAAATGATTGAAGTTTATAATTTTTTTAATTAATACAATTAAAAATAAAAGTCAAGCCAAAGCAACCGAATTTTTGAATATTTTGTTCGCACAAGTAGTACTGTCTTGTGTGACACAAACATAGCATAATCAAAATAAAGGTTTAATTTTTCTAAAACGTATCATTCTTCTGCTGTGTTTAGGGGTAGTATACAATTGAAAAATATACCAAATAATTGTACCTTGTGAAAGATGTTTTAGCTTTTTCCAAATTCTGTTCCACATATATTAATATATTTTGAGGCTTACAATACCTCAAAACAGATTCGACTTGTTTTCTTGAAGCGATTTTACCTTTTGATAACGTCCTTACGTCACGGAAAACAAAGGAGAACAGAGCATTGTATAGTTCGCATTTTTGGTCAAGTCATGTTTAATGGATGCTATTATATGTAGAAATATTCATGGCATTCAATATATATGTTTAGATCGAGGGGGGCTAATAACGATAGACTATTGTTCAAGATCAAAGGAACTTTTCTAATCTAATCAATAGACTAAAAAGAAATTTGGCGCAGTGCATACACTTTTTAAGTAAATTTAAACTTCCCAGAAACCAGATTTCGTCATATTAAAACTTGTTTTAATCGTCGCGGTAATGTTAATTTCCTGTGGAAATCTCATAAGTTGTGTTTTGTTTGCCACTGGGAAATTACCGGTCGTTTAGCGGTGATTTCCGTAACAAAGTAAATTCCACGGTCGACGCGAAATTTTTACAGGAGGTTAAACTTACCATTTAATAGATTGCATATAAAACATTTGCCACAAGAACAAGAAATATTAAAACGACAACATTTTTTATCATTCCAATAAAAACGATTACGAGTAAAATTATATTGTACTGAAATAGATTTTTTTTTGCAAATTCTTCATCATATAATCTATTTCCTATTACCTAGTAGTTTTGCGATAGTATAACTGATCAGTTGACAAGTAACAGCGTATAAATTTACAGATGGTCTATGTCTATATATTTTACTACTTAATGGATCCTGTATTACCCACACTGTAGTACTTCATAACAATTTAGTATATGTCTTAAAAACATTTTCATTACTTTTACACTTGACTATAAAACTAAAAAGTGTGCCATCTTCTAGAACATTAAGAAGTTAGCAACTAACATAAAAACAACTTTATTATATCGCCTTGAACGACTTGATGAACACACACACACGCCTTAAAAACATCAAACTTCATACAAGCTTTTGTGATGATGTCACTATTGTTGGTGAACTGTATCGATCTACCACTTGTTGATTATATGGGTAATTTGTCCACACATAAGGGAAATCCCTATGTGACAACCTGACAACACGATCGAAACATTTGTAGATTCACACAAACGCACTAAAGGGTTTTTTTTATTTTTTATTTATCACAGAATTGTGCGAAAATGATGTTAAAATTAAATCTGCCAAATTTGGGTATCAACTAGATATTTTATAGAAGGTGAGGAGAATTTAGAAAAATGTTGATATTGTTGACATTTCGAGAAACTTTTTACAGCTGCACCGTAAGAGGGCGCCACTTGTAATATTTTTTTGCGGTTATTCTTAATATTTGTGTCCCTATTTATTCCAAAAGAGAGAAAATAGAACACCGATATTTCACTTGTATACACAGTTTTTCTGAAATGTGATCTAATTTAAAATGCAAAGATATGCAACACATATTACAACCTTGCTTCAAGTTTCAACTAGTTACATTCGTGAGAGACATTAGCAATTTATAGAGTACAATAATGCTATGTTAAATAATTATGATTATAATTGGCACAGGACTCTCATTTATAATGTATGTGCCACCGTACGATTCAATACTTCGCAAAATTTTTCAGGAAATAACATAAATCTTGTATTTTTATGCCATACTTTTTCCAGGCCCATCTTCACGCTAGTTCGGACATAATAATTTTTATGGAAGAGGAACATATTATGTAAGATAGATGTGTAACTGTTATAAATCTGTAATTGCATTGAGATTATCCCATGACTCATGGGTATGTGTAATTTACCCATGAAGTATGAACAAAACACTGGAAATGAGCCAACACTTATAAAAATATTATCATAAGAAAAAAAATCGTTGCATTGTTCTAAATTCACGATCTGAAAAAATATTTATAAAAAATTAACACGAATTGAATGTTCACAGCTTCCATTGCATTCACCCCCTTTCCCTAAAAATCTGTTTGATCCTTATTTCTCATTGATAAAATTTGTTCAAGGTGATGCAGAGTACAAACCATATGTAATAGCAGTGCCTGATATCCGCGAAATCCCCCTCGACGGGGGCGAAGACTTCCTAATCTTAGCCTGTGACGGTTTATGGGATTTTTTGTCAGAAGATGACGCCGCTCGAACCGTGTACGAAATGGTATGCAATAATCCAGGTATGTAGTCATTTTTCCTGTTTACTCATTTTAAAAACAACGTTTCACAACGTTGAGTGACAAACGAAAATATTCGGCTCGGTTAAGTGGGTATTATTTATAGAATCAACGAGCAAAATGAAAACATAGTTAACTCTTTAAAACTCCACATCTGACTGCAAACATTCGTTCTTAATATACCCCACTTTTCTGGTGGTCTGCCACCAGTCTGTGTTTTGACATGATTCATTACTTTAATCGTCGATGGCATTCCATTTGTTGTCTAGCAATTATATATAACTTTGATGTTCTTGCCATCCCTCCTCTTCCTCGTGTAGTATTTTCGACTGCACTCCGTGGCAATGACCTACAGGATCGCCCCGTTACGTCACTGTGGGACACGCATGATGGTTTTTAAATGTCATCATCTGTTCACATTCTACTTTCAATACTTAACCCTCCCTCAGGTCGGTCCGCTTTTACATCACTAATTGAATTTTGTTCGACTTGTAATGGCCGCTAACTAGAATTGATAAAGTGTCAAACTGTGAAACGGTCACAGTTCATTTCAATTTAACTGTATTGAGAATAGCAGGAGCTGAGTGAACTGGAAAGGAGTAAATCTTGTGGTGACAGGACTGAGTCATCGGTTTTCATAAGAGTTTAATCGATATATGTAAAATGAAATGAGAATGATCTCATAAAAACACGCTTTAATGGCGACGTAAAAACCTTTTGTTTTACCTAACTGATTGCCTAACGGTCGAACTTAATTGATTTTTAATGATGAATCAGACTTGCAAATATTACATCATTAGAGTATGTTATAGCACTCAGAGTTGCAGTTCTCAAGTTACAACTAGTTCTTGAAACTGCGTTTTTGGTATTTGTTTTTATTTTGTATATTGAAGATCTTTATCGGAAAATAATTCCAACATCTATGAAAAAAATTGATTGGATAACCGTCTCTTATAACTTGAGTCCGTCTCTCCATGAAGAGTCCCCTCTCAATACTTAGTAACGAACTTGTATAATTGATAGATCTTGATAAAAACGCCCAGTTCATCACTCACGCTTCTGAATTCTGTGAAAGACCAAGGAAATATGATTTTAATGATATATGTAGCCATTTTTGTTTGTAGTTTTTTACTCTGTATCTTATTTTTTCTCAGGAAGTTATTTTTAATATATTCAGGCATCCATGTTCTGTTAAATGGTGATCAAATTTATTGATTGACACATAATTTCTGAAACAACTCGACCGATTGTTATAAAATTTTATATGTATTTTAAGAATTTTACTACATGATAAAATACTAACCAAAATTTAGCTAATCGTCCCCAAGAACAATATGATGACGTCACCTCAAAATGTTGCCAGTGAATATGATTGAAATTTTATAAAATAACACACTCTTACACTTGTGGTTTATGAATCCTTCTTAATTTTTCACCCTAGACATCCAGATTTTTTGAAAAAAAAAAACGGATATATTGAATAGTTTCAGAAAATAAATGAATAAAATATCGTCTTTTGCGAAAAACATAAATGAACTTTTATTTTAAGCTTGTGGAATTGCAGAATTATTAAGTAAAATTGGTCACTGTTAGCATTTCTATAATATTATTCGAGTCCATGTTAAAAAATTGATCTAAAGTTGTTTCGACAGAACTTCCCTCGCATCTAAAGTACAATGAAGCAGATCCAGCATTTTTGTTCTTACTATGCACAATTTTGTAATGACGTCATCAACAAGATGCGTATATCAACTTGGATTGGTGCAGTATGATACTAAAAAATACTCTATTCCCAAAATTTTCAAAAAAAAATGGAGAGAGCCGTTTCTGATTTAATCAATAAAATAAATTGACTCATTCATTAATTTTTTTGAGACATCTGTATAAGCAAATCTAAACTTAGGGCTATCGAATTGCTATCCTATGTTTTTAACGTCTATTATTATAAATCTTAACTCGAAATAAAGAGATTAAGTACCCTGTCCGACATTATTTTTAGTTTACATCAGTGATCTGCCGCAGTCGATTAGACCTCACATAATTCAGTTGGCAGACCGTTTGTGGCACTACGTTTTATGGATCAATAATAATTAAATAAAACTGATAAAGACACAACGATAAATACGAATAACGAAATTGTTGAATAAAAATTGTTTGCCATAAAATGGTGTTATATGTTCAAGTAGATGTAATAATTATGATGAAACAAAACTGTTACTTGTTCTCATATTCAAGCGGTAGAGTAACAGTGAATACACTGCGTCTTTTCAATTGATAGTTTTTAATAAAAGAGTGACGTAAGCATTTCACCGAATAGTGTTTAATGGGTTTTTCGTGGTTTCTTTTGGTGACATTCCTGGTAAATTATGGATAATTTGAATGAAACCTGAGATTATAATCGGGTTAGTATTCTTTTAATAGTATTCTTGGAAGTGGGTTTTAATATTATTTTATTACTTCGTATGGTGCTACATTAGGGGGGTGGACAGTGTCATCATTAAATATGAATAACCCACTTATTATACTAGGCTAAGGGTTTTTCACACCTGCATAGGAAAACAACACATAATCTCTATCCACAAAATAATAAATCGCAACTGCATAAAAGTATAATTAATCTTCTGCATTTCCAGAGCAGAATTTTATTTTGTCTCCAAAAAATTCACCGAAATCGAATGAATAGTTTTAGTGATGGTTAATAAATTAGTTCCATGAAATGTTAATTTTTCCTGGACATGGTTAGTTACTCTTTAACATCAAAAGTAACGCATCATCAACCTTTTGGTGGGGATAAATATATTAATATTAATTTTTATATGTAATGTAGAATGTAGCACTAATCATAAAGTGTGTTTCTGCGATTCCAAAAAGTTGAAGGAGCTGTTTCTGACAATCGGTAAAATAATTTCATTGCTAAGAAATAAAAGAGTATGATTAAACCAGGAGTAAAATCTCATGTCAGGTTGTCTTTTTTAATGACAGATTTATGTAATATATTTTTAAATTAACGTCATTGGCGGTAGAAAACCGGTATCTAATCTTTGAACTAAATTGAAAATTTGATGGTCCAATATTTTAGATGAAGTAATGAATCTTTGGAATTGCATGACATGTTTTAATTAACATTATATTATCTTGGGGATAATTTCAAAGCACACCTAGGAAATTTTCAAACTAATCTGTTCGGAGAGCAGATAGGAATGGAAAATCGCTTATTCCACGAAGGTTGTCAAATTAAATAACGAACCCGTTAGTGTTGCCAACAAAATTATTTCCAAAATAAATTTCATGACCTACTAGAGGATTTTTTTTTATCATGTGGTATTTATAGTGCATTGGCGATTTTTATAGCTCACAACAAGCCATGGAAAATTAGTAACTTGGTAATCAATATTATTAGTCAGCTAAAGTTTCTCGAAAAGGGGTGACATTCTTATCGATTTGTGTTGTCACCTAATTAAGGTTATGAATTGTGTCAGAAACCCAACCATTGTTGCCATCAAGAAACATTATTAAAGTAATTAATTAAACATTCAGAACTTGATAATTTTACTGAATCTTTGTGTAAAATTTAGAAATTATTTTTTTAACTGAAGGGTAAATGTAATAACTAATCATTAATGGAAAATATAGTGCTGGAAAATTCATGGTAGGTGTATTTCAGCAAAAAAAAAAATTTGTCGATTGCTTCAACACTGTCAAGAGAATAATTTAAATTTCAAACTAAGTAAAATTTAGCGACTTTTGTTGACTAAAAGTTGCAGGAATTGACAAAATAGTCGATTATATTGACAATGGTATGGGAGTAATCTAAGGGCCTCATGTCCCGTAATGTTTCGTCTGTCAAAACTGTTTTTTCCGTCGCAGTTCTAAAAGGTTGAATTAAATCCCACAATTATTTTTCGAAAAATTTTGATTAAATTCAATACTGTGAAAATACTGCTAGAAAATGAGGGTGGTTTTTCCAAGAGCAGGGGATGATGTGGTGCATTGTCCACTACCCCTACACTTTTTCGTTGCAACTTGTTCAAAGTGGAAATTAGCTGGTTGCCCAATTAATCTTGAAAAGATGTCCCGTCGAAGTACACTTCATTAGAATTTAGAATTTGAAGAAGAAATTGAATGTGTTTGTTCACATAAAATTTTGCGAACGTTTACCTCCCTGTGTTTGTAACCCATGGACCTAATAATGTTGTAGTGTTGAAAAAGTTCTTCCCTCATTGAAAGTAGGGGTTTTAATTAAAACTTATATGTATTGGCAATCTTATATTTTTAACCGCAATACTAAAATTTTTCTAACTTGTTCTCATAATATAACATTTTTCAAAATTGAATGTTTTTAGTTACAGTCGCCAGAAGGTGAAAACTTTCTCAAATCGTCTCCTTTTTCGAAAAGGAACCCGATTTCTCAGGCCACAGGTGGGTCTCATAACTCAAAATACTTCGACCAATCTGCAATCATTTAGGGTAAACGTTCTTGAAGAATCTTTTGTATAGAATGAGGTGCGGAAGTCAGGGAAACTGTTCCAAACTGTTGTCTACTTCTTTGAGATATTCCACTTTTAACACCGTTACACGCCTTGGAATAATTTTTTCTCCAGGAACGTGCCTATAGAAATTCTATTGGCATATCGTGAACTGTTAATATCTCGTTTATCATAAAAACTCAATTTTATGCAGAAGCATTGCCACGCATGAATACCCGAAGAGAGATCAGCACTGTGCGTGCTCACATTTATCCACGAAATTAATAACACTGCAGAGTGAACAAACTTCTCTGTCTGTGTTCGTGTTGTTGCGTCCATTCTGTAACATGGGAAAAAAAGACGACGTGACTTGCGTTTCTCATACAAGTTGTATAAAAGACATATTTATATAAAAAAATCGACCTTGGGATCGTCATGCCTTCTTCCCGGCGGAAATAATAAAACATGTGAAACATTAACCTCCAAACGGCTATCAAAAACGCGTTAATACAGAGGTATCTCAGACCAGACAGTTCG